GCTATTTATGCAATTGCGAAAATCAGACCTGAAAAAATCAGGCCTGTATGGGATTCAAACCACTGACCTCTGCAATACTAGTGCAGCACTCTACCAATTGAGCTAACCAGCCAACTGAGAGCAGGCCGTTAAGTTGATTCGTAATAAACCCGTGATGATAAATCAGATACAATGAATAAATGAAGTTCATATATTTTGAACTGCGGTTGTAGATACGTATGATGCACAATCCTTGTTAGCTCAATTGGTAGAGCATTGCACTAGTATTGCAGACGTCAGTGGTTTGAATCCCGTACAGGCCTGATTTTTTCAGGTCTGATTTTCGCTATTGCATAAATAGTGCTCTCTACTGCGAGGATCGTGCATCATATGAAGTATCTTTTATTCATTTACATTTGTATCACTTAATTAGCCTGTCTCTCCAGCAAATGATTTCAAGCCCATGGATCCCATTGGTTTAATTCATAACTTAAGGTTTCCCTGCCATCAATTTATCATTCTTCAAGGCCATATCAACTGTGGACACATAATAATTTTACTTACATGATGCAGCAAATAAAATAAATGATATGAGAAATAAATAAAAAAGTGAGCCAACCATTATGTCCTCCTCCCTTCTTGGCCAAGTCAAGGTATTCAGTGTTGTTTCCTCCTGCTGATACTAGGGTTTCCGTGCCTTGCTGAGCTTCAACAGATACAGCTAATTCTGTTCAACAAACATAGCATGCACCTCATAAATATACAATTGTATCTGAATTTCTCATAAAGTGATAAATTCCAGAACTTTGTGATAACATTCTAATCAAATCTAATTTCAAATTTACAAGAATACTTTTTATTACAACTGAGAGAGAAGGATAAATGACTGACATAAACAGGTAATTCAATGCAGTAACCTTTTCTTTTCTGTGTTTCTTTGACATCCACTCCATCATGTGTGTACCACTGTCCATCCTTCTTGTCATAACTTAATGGTTCAGGGGTGGGTGCATGGGGTTCTACTGTCAGCAGGTCTATCACAGAGCAAACAAATTTAGTAAATGGCTCACAATAACATGAAGAACAACAACAGAACAACAACAAATTATACAGAGAGGTTTGCAGTCTCTCGATTCCATAATTCCATTGTAAGTTTGATTCACAAAAAATAAATTTTATTACTCTTCAAAATTAGATTACTCAACAGTGTCCCCATTACAGTTTTCAGATGGCACGCAGATTTTGGGTAGTCTACACAAATTCTCATCAAGACTTCTGAATTAACTTGACTTGAAATGATTTGAAAACCAATCTGGAGGCCAGATGGCCCACATGGAAAACATTTCAGTGATTCTCTTTCTTTAGTCCCATTCTCTGGGTAATAGTTGATGTGACTCTTCCATGTTTTCTTTGAAAATAGTTTCTCAAAGTATTCCACACCTGATTTCATTAGAGCATCTCTTTGAACGCAGACAATCAATAGCTGTTACATTTACTGTGCATTTTCTAGTTCCTCATGTACATTATGTTTATTTATGCGCTGAAGGCACTGGGTTAAACAGGTTAGATCATTACAATGAAGTATCTTACATTTCTTTGAATGAAATTACAATTCAATGGGCAATCACAATTGTATCAGCAATTCTTTAAAATTCAAACCTTTATGTCCTCCACCTTTCTTTGCAATCTTCAAATAATCCGTTTGTGAGTCAACCTCCAATGAACTATCAAAGTTGACTGGACGTGGACTGCTTGTAACTGTTAACATTTCTAAAGAAAAGAGAGAGTTGAGTAAATTTATTTTTATTATGGTTTCCATATTAACAAATTAGCCAGAAGTGGCTGGTTTCTGGTGTGACAAAAGGAGGGAGTTGAAAGCCATCAGGCTTGTCCTCAAGAGTTATTCTATGAACTCTGAAGCAGAGGGGTCTCCATTGAAGGGAAAAATGACAAACCTTGCCAACTGTGCAATTCTCAAGCTGGGCATGATGAGCATGAATGGTGTGGTTGAGTTTGTGATAAAAACCAGGTTGAAGCAGTCAATGACATGTGAGGTTACATTACTTTGAGAACCAACAAACCTTTTCTTTGCTGCGAGTCTTTCACGTCAACTCCATCATGGCTGTACCACTGTCCATCTGTTTTTTCATACATAGCAGGTTCAGGAGTGGGTGTATGAGGATCGATTGTCAACAAATCTGAGACAAAAAAGAAGAAATTGACATTTTGGTGATATCTCCTCATTCATAGACTAAAATTTTGACCAATTCTTGCAAGTTGATGCTTACATAATCTCTCCAGGGTACTTTACTGTTATTGTTGTTGTTATTGTTATTGGTTATTATCAACAACACTATTTTCCTTTTACGGCTAACTAGAAAATGACTTTAAAAGATATCTTGAAATGTGCCCTTTTAAACTCTTACATGTACTTCAATTTTGTACTTGCAATATTGGATCAAAATATGAAGAATCTTGGATGACAGTTTTTACTTATTTACCATTATGATAATAGAAAAATAGCTTTGTTTAACATAGCATATATGTGAATTAAATTTAAAACATCCTGAACACAATGATGCAATTAAAAACTTAAGAAAACCATAGACAAGAAGGAAAACTATCCAAAACTGAAACTTTTCATATAAAAAATGGAGTCATAGAGAAGTTCACATCATTCCAATTAAAAGAAAAAACCCAAATGCTTAGTTCACTTCCAGGTCTGCTGCTTAATCTCACCTTTTTTGCACATTCATTTTTTAATTTATTGATCTGACCTTATTTAGGAGGAGTCTGCTTTTGTGCGCAGTGTATTTCGTATTGTCGTGACAGGATGGTGCTACAAATCCCCAAATAAAAACAGACATTGACACTACCAACTGCTAACTAGTGTATACCTTTATGTCCTCCTCCTTTCTTTGCCAGTTGTAAGTATTCTCCACAGTTTTCACCAGCAGCTAGAACATCACAGTCTTGAGAGTTATTAAGACTAGATGACAAGTCTGAAATGTAGCAATTTAAGAATACATTAATGTACTAGTAAAGAAGTGAATAATACACTCTGATATAAACTGTAATGCATGCATATATCCATTTACTTCACAAACTGTTAAACAAATTATTTTACCTATTCCTAACAAAAGCACCACTTATAATCCTCCTATTAAAAAAAAAAAATTACCTTTCCTTTGTTGAGTCTCTTTTACATCCACTCCATTGTGAGTGTACCACTGTCCATCTGTTTTGTCATACCTGACTGGTTCAGGGGTGGGTGTGTGGGGTTCTACTGTTAATAAGTCTGTTGGTAAATTTACCAGATAAAAGTATTTTTCATAAAGTAGTCATACTATTGGTGAACGTTACTTATTCTTGCCATGTTCTGAACCAGTTACCATGGTTCTCAAAGGAAACGTTATTTCCTGCAATTAATTAATGTAGCTAGTAGTAAGAAGATTACATTTTATAAGTAAAATCAACAAAGTTTTATAATGGCCGATTGTTTTTGTAATGTAGAGGAACTATCACAAAACATATCATATCAAGCTGTTATGAGGGCATTATAGCTGGTTTTGTCAAGCAGTGTGGTCCGTTGTTCATGTGTTGCCATCAACACAGTTCACTGTTATTACCTACATAACACGTCAAGCAAATGAGTTCATCAACAATGAGAGCAGAATTGAAATTGAGATTTATCCAATCACAAAACACATTAACAGTAACTGGATAAAAGCATGGGAGACCTGTGAAGTAAAAATTTTAAATTGTGGCATTTATCATTATAACCATGATAAACAACACATTTTCAATAAGAAACATTTTTCTTTGAACCTAACATGCTTCTTATCTTCATAAAATCCACATCTAAAGTTAAACTGCAATGTTAATCCAGATGCAGGCATCACAATGCCAGCCATGCTATGTTCATATAAACACTAACCTTTATGCCCTCCACCTTTCCTAGCAGTCTTCAGGTAATCTGTGTCTGTCTCTAGATCTACTGAACTTGCTGTGCTTGATGGATGTGGGCTCTTGGGCAGGGTAACCATTTCTAATAAGAGTAAACAAGAATAATGGTTAACAAATGCTGAGACAAGACAATGGTTCATCAAAGCACATGTTACTAGTTAATTAAACCTGTTAATTGAACCTGTCTGTGTTTGAACATAAGAACATAAGAAAATGAGGGGAGGATTGTAATGTTTGACTTAAAATAGATACTTCCTGGTGAGCCACTCTAATACTTTCATATCTTTCAGAACAGTAGTTGGGTTTGTACATAATAATAAAAATGCAGACGAATAACCACCTGACACAATTTATTGACTATAATAAATATAGGTACCATAATGAACAAGTTTTTGAACATACCCTTCAAGTGGGTGAGACACTTGGTCATAAATGTTACTAGTTAATTACAATGAAAAGCAAAAATGTATGTATAAAAATTAATTATTAATAAGCATATTATTACATATCACTACCATCATAGTTGTTATCAAGCATTTCAATGGCATACCTTGAAAGCTAAACAGTATCTGTTTCATTTCAATCAGTTCTAATCATTACTTAATATACAAATGTGAGTAAATTTATAAAGCAAAACCATTAAATAAAGCTTCAGTGTTTAAGTCAAGCTGTGATTTTTTTTGTGTTCTACCTTTCCTCTCTTGTGTCTCCTTGACATCCACACCATCATGAGTGTACCACTGTCCATCTGTCTTTTCATAATTGACTGGTTCAGGGGAAGATAAGTGAGGTTCCATTGTCAATAGGTCTAGGGCAGGAAATGATAAGATAATATCAGAGAAAAAAAGAATACCACTTACATGTTTAACAAATCATATGTACAGATCCCATACTGGCCTGAATTTTATTAGGCCTGATTTTCACTATTGCTCAAGTAATGTTCATTACCGCAAAGATCACTTTGATGTTCATTTCTTAACCCACATTTCAAGTATGTGATTTTCATATATTCCCAGCCATTTATTCATCACTTCACAGGTTTTTTCCACACAACCATCATGATAATGATCAGCTGACCCAGTGGGCTTGTTAGCTCAGTTGGTTGAGCAGGCTTTAGTTGCACTTCTGCTCAAGTAGTGTTCACTACTGCAAAGACCACTTTCAGAAAAGTCGACTGTTTATGCTTGTGACTTTTTCAACAATAACAGTTTATGTAAGTGTGATGTAAACTTTGAATATACTAAACATGGAAAACTTACTCTATTAGCTTGGGTATGAAATAACCAAGCTGGGTATGAATTGACAGGGTACAAAATGACAGTGGGTACAATACGACTGGTATCCATTACCATAAATGGAAAATTTTCAGCCATAATTACTTGATGCTGCTATACCACATTTGAAATTGTAACCTTAGGATTACATATGTACATCATTTTAAGTCCTATACACCGAATCGAAATATGGCGTCCAATTTGAATTGCCATTGTTCTTGACTGACTAGCCTCTCACACATGTGATAATCCTTTTGTGTTTCCACGTCAAGACGAGGGTAGTAAGTCCAAAACAATGGTAATTCAAATTGGATGCCATATTTTGATTCGGTGAATCTTCCTCACCTTTATGCCCTCCCCCTTTCCTTGCAGTCTGGAGGTATTCTGTTTCAGCTTTACATTCTGCTGCAGAATCACTTAAAGTTCGACGACGTTTCTGAGCAGATCCAGAATCTGATAAAAGAGAAAAGCTGGTTTTATTATGTCACTTAGAAGCACTTTCAGTAATATACCCTGACACTTTCTGTCTACATTTTCAAACAAGCTTAAGGATAACAGGTGAAGCATACTGCATCCACAAATGACCACCCTCCAAAATATGAGAGAATCAAAATAAGAAAATAGCAAATTATACTGAAAAATTTGAGAGCAACTTTCTCACTTTCACACAAGTCAATAATTTTAAAGAATTAATATGAGTCCTGGTATAACTTACAAATTCAACAGTGGCTCTAAAGAGAGCAAATATAAGATGCAAACAACAATTGTTTTCTTAATTATAATTAATAGGTGCAGTTGATAATTTCTTTAAGGAGATAAAAGTAACCTGTGTAGTAAGCATTAGTCTTTTTTAAGGATCAAGCATAATCACTCTCTTTATGGCTTCTGAATCATATGTTACCTTCTGGTCCATCTTTGATCACCATGTCATCTTGATTGTACCAATCCCATTGCTTTTTTTCATACTGTTTTGGTTCAGGTGAAGGAGTATGAGCCTGAACGGTCAATAAATCTGCAAACAATGTGACCATTGTATAAAAGAAACAGTTCAAATATGATCTATAGATTACTCATCCAACAAACTGGATACTTTTATTAGTGGTTTCATTACACTCAGAGCATGCCTTGTAAAAGAAAAACTAGTTATTTTTCCTCAAATCTCAACATTTTTTCCTTAACCCGACCCAGAGAAAAACTGAGATTGTTGGAAAACATTTATTAACTAGTACCCTCAGCATCACTCATAAGTTTTTATCATTGAACAACAGCAGTCAATAAACCTTAACTATGCAATACAACAGGTTACAATGTGTCTGCAGACAAGCTCCTTTAATGTATGTGAATCCCCTTTACTTTTGTTATAAATACCATACATGGTGTTACATTTAGTACCTGGTCCAACCCTTCAAAATATATCATTGACAAGTGCTCAACTCAGCAAAAGTGAAAAAAATCTATCATTGTGAAGAACAACTCCCTGAAAAAAGCTGTCAGCAGACAAATAAGTGAAATCAATGTTGTACTATGTGTTGTGAGCAGGGTACCTTTGCGTCCTCCACCTTTCTTGGCCAGGTCAAGATAGTCTGTGTGCTTTCCTCCAGCAGCTGGTTGTGCATCATCACCATTAGCGAGTAATCCATTCAAAGCCAAAGACAAGTCTGTTGTGGAATAAGGATGACTGATTTGAAAAATTGTGTTCCCTAGTTTACAATCAAAGAGCTTCCAAATATTTTCAGGGAATCCACATCAAAAGATAAGTACTGTAACAGTCTATCCTACTTGTCATCAATGGGATAAAATATAATACCACAACAATGACAATGCAAAATACATGTAAACCCTTGGGGAGGGGGGATATGCACAAAACAACTATAATTATATGATTTCACCAAAGGGGTCATGAAATCTTACAGATAGTTTCAAATTGTCAAAAGAGTGGTTGACACATTTGACCAGGGAGAGATGCAAAATACAAAATTAGGCTGTTCCTATGGTATGGTCTGTAATGTATCATGGTACATGGATTGACAGAATTCAGAAATTGTGGTAAAAAATAAAATAGCTACAATCATTGTTTTAAAACATTTAATTCAATGGTTGCAGTCATTATGCTGGCCATGGGTATGCGTAGTTGTAGTTCTCCAATCAATCATATGGCTAACCAACTTGGCCAAGAAAAATTTGATTGTGACTAAATTTACAAATGATACTGCACCTTTCCTCTGTAGGGTCTCTTTCACATCCACTCCATCCTGTGTGTACCACTGTCCATCCTTTTTGGCATATTTGACTGGTTCAGGAGTGGGTGTGTGGGGAACTACTGTTAATAAATCTACAATTTAAGAAGGTCAGTAGAAATCAAACAAGTAATAAGCCACGCTTATATTGTTTTACAGAAATGTTTATAGGTGTTTATAGGTAAAATGGTTTTAAACACTGCACCAAAGAACTGGCTTTTAAAAATGACTTAAAGAACTAGAATGCCCAGAAATATTGGTGCATTTGCCATAAACAAACCACATGATTATACCTAAATTTCTTTGAGACTTGTCAAAGCCTACCTATGTGTACCTATGCCCTAAAATCAAAGTCCATTTTCCTTCCTTTACATGGTTTGTACAACTTCAGACAAACAAAATTCAAGGACTTTTCAAGGACAAAAATGGTTTTCGAGGACTAAGTTTTATTCATAAATCTAAACCATTTATGATTGAATACACCTTTGCCCATCGCTCAATTAAATTGAAAACAAAGTGAAATGAAAAATTCATTGACCAAAACATAGCCAAATCACTACATGTTTACGTTGCCCTTTAAAACAAAAGCACATGGCAGACTACCCCATATCGGAGGCCTTGCGCATGAAATTGAGGCACAGATCCAACTTTGCATCATGTACCACTCACGTTTTTTAATGACCATTTCCGCTTTTTGGTAGTTACTAGTGTACAAATTTTCCATAGCAAAATCGTTTAATTTATCAGAAAAACGACAAGGCGCACAGACGTTGCTAAATTTCAAGGACTTTTCATGACCTACTAAACAAATCAAGTACTTTTCAAGGACTTAACCAAATTCAAGGACTTTTCAAGACGACCATTAAAATTCAAGACCTTTTCAAGATTGTACAAACCATGCTTTATGAAGACTTTGTGGCATGGGCAAGGTGACATTAGTAGTGCTTGAAAATGGTTCAATAAGTCATTCAATTCAAAACAAAAGATTACTTTGAGAAGTCCTGACCCTACTGGAAATCTTATTTTGAAACTTTGTTCCTCAGGTTAAGATCTTCTCATTAAACACTTACCTTTATGCCCTCCACCTTGCTTTGCAAGTTGAAGATATTCTGTGTCTGTCTTACTGTCTACTGAGCTGTTAGCAGATGAAGATAGATGGTCCCTGGACAGTGTAAGCATTTCTAGTAGAAGGTATTAGAAAGTGGACAATACCATTTTATGACAGTGATACTTTTATGATACTAGGCCCACATTATGACTTTAATAATACAAGTTGCGATGAGAATTGTAATGTAAAAGAACTCTCACCTTTCTTTTGTTGTGTGTCCTTGACATCCACTCCATCATGTGTGTACCACTGTCCATCCTTCTTTTCATATCTAACTGGTTCAGGGGTGGGTGTGTGAGGTTTGACTTTTAACAAATCTATAAGACATAAAAAATATTTGTGAGTTTGGGACAATAGCTCTGACTCATATGACCCCCAAAGCCCATGTATGCTTTGGCAACTGTTTATAAGGGATACAAGTCACTGCATAAGACAACGGAATGTGGCAAAATGTAATTGGCCAAGAATTACTATTTTACACCAATGAAAATCCAAACCCTCAATGAATAGTTGATAAGGGATACAAGTCACTATACAAGACAACTGAATGTGGTGAAATGTAATTGGCTGAGAATAATTTTACACCAATGAAAATCGAACCCTCGATGAATTGTTTCTAAGGGATACAAGTCACTGTACATGACAAATGAATGTGACGAAATCTAATTGGCTGAGAATTACAACTTTACACCAATGAAAATCCAAACCCTCATGAATTGAGACAACAAAAGCTACAAATCGAGCGAAGCAAGTTACTGGTAATAATAATGATAGCAAAAAATAGAAATGTGATCAACTTTATTTATTTCATCAAAAATTATTTTTGGTAGGAGCCCACCGGCAAAAAAAGTCTTTAGTAAGGCCAAAAAATAAAAATTTGTTGATATGTGTCTACTTAGTTGTGCAGTATTTGTAAACTTAAGTAGCTATATCAAATTTATAGCATGAAGAAAAGAGGTTGCATGTAGCTTCTGCAGTTAACAGTTATCTCCTCCATTGTAAACAACTGAATGGACCCACATTTTAATGAAAAATTCAACACAAACCTGCATGTCCACCACCTTTCTTTGCCATCCGAAGATATTCAGTATCATTTTCAGTAATACCATTTGTTGCCATAGGCCCATTTAAAGCAAATGGCGTGGCTGTAAAATCTGCAAACAGCCAACAAGTAGTTAAATATATATTTAAGATGCATAGTGTTAAAAACTAGAAAAACCAGTTTGAGGCCCTTATCTATTATTCCCTTCATTCTAACAAATTGATTTAAATGGATTTCATCATTGTACATGTACAATAATGTGCATACGAAGTAATAGCCAAATCTGAAAAAAAATCATAAAGTTGAGAATCTCAGTGAAATATGGATAACATCAGTTCACAGCCAAAATTTGGAGGAACTTCATTGTTTAGGCTATTTGTATTTTTCCAAAAACCTTAAAGCAGATGTATGCTACACACCAATTTTCGTAAATAAATTTAAACATATTCTTTCTGACACTCAACCCTTTTCCTTGTGCTGTAAAATAGAGAACACCAATGAGAGTAAAAATCATTGTGACTGATTGCAGTGTGATAGATTCATTATGGTGCATCAACACGACTAAGAATTTTTTCAGCAACAGGTTTTGGAAATTGTTTCCTTAGGGTGAATACTGAGCTTTACAGCTTTACTTGTTGATTTCACAGCTTGTTTTGTAAAATTTCTTCTCAAATTCCAGACAACAAGATTTTAGATTTGAATCTAAATCACTTTTCTCTTTTCTCTAACAACTAACCTTCATTGCCAGAACTACCAACATATAACTCTTGTTCATCCATATCTGAAAGGCTCCTTTGTGTGTTGGGGATGGAATCCGCTTCCCCCCTTAACAATGAAAAGTCTAATGCAAGGGGAGTTGGTAGACGGGAGTCCCAAGACTCATCCAACGAGGAATAATCTTAATAGAATAAAAATAATTAAAACTTACACTGGATAAACTTGCTTAAAAAGTAATAGCTTTTGCCTAGACCTCTAGCCTTGATCACTTAGTAACCCCCCCTAAAGCAGCGAGGTTACTGGATATGCAAGTTCATGTCAGGACCCCCACCCCTCTGCTCGTCCCTTCAGCAGATTTTGCAATACTTCGGGAGGTCTGTACCTTCCCCAGTTGCAATTCAGGTTAGGATGGTGTTGTTTGATGTTGATTGCTTCTTTCACACCCCTTTTGAACCACTTGGTTTAATGTTCAAGACCTTAGGAATAATCTTACCATGAAAATGAAGTTTACACACAAACAAATTAATTTTTAGAACACAAATATAGTGACACGTTACAATCACAACTTTTTTTTTTAGCAGCGAGTAGTGGCCACTGATCACATGGCTGCACCATGCACTTATGGCATACAAGTAAAGAAAATGGAAACTTATCTACCAGAGTCACAAAGGAGTTCTAGGAAAGCAAACAAGTCATTTATAAATTAATAGTAGCTGTCAAAGGAAATCACAGAAACATGCTACTTGCTTGCTGACAATTGCAATGCCTGTGTAACCAGTTTTTTCAAGATCAATTTATGTGACTCTAATAACTTCATTTTTTAACCAAGTTTCATAATGAGCTGAGAACTTAAGAACGACAAGGTTTAGGTTACCTACTGGAAACCAAAAGTGAAACTTTTTGGATTTGAGATGATATAAATTTTAGCCCAGGCTTAAAACACCTGACTACAAAGTTCATTTTCAGTAGCATTGCCACCCAGCTGATAACAATTTCAGACCTATTTAAGTAACCACCCTGAATGATCCTTGCCCTCACACACTCCTAAACTAAGCAGACACTCCCATAATGTACCATGCTCAAATCTTAACTGCTTAAAACAATGTATTAATTCCAGTAACATGCCTCACTAGGCCTAAAAAGCAAACTTTTAATACATCTTAATACATAGCACTGTTTTCATTCCCATCATAAAGCCCTTAGTTATCCGTGGTTTAGAGAACTATCACTTTTCACATTTTCTTCATTAGAATGCCAACTAAAGTTGCTGCCATTAATACCAATATATTCCTTCCAGGATGACAATAAACTTTGCCACAACTACACAGTCAATGCTTGAATTCTGAATTCTTTAGATATGGCTTTGCTAATATGTCACTACGTAATTTGTTTTTTTATCAGTAGATTTAGCATAACTATTAAAATGAAACAAAATCACATGATCCATTATTTAACAAAGTAAATTACACCATGGTTGAAACTATGTTGGAAAATTACTTCTTTGTATTAAAATGCAGATACTTCTCGACACACATTGAGAACAAATTAAAAAAGAAAACTAAACATGCAAAGCACATCGAATAAGATTAAGCCTAATATAAAACATTCAACCTGTTTACATCGGGTCGGCAATTAAGCCGCAACATGAAATCCAATCTCACACAGCAGCATGATTTTGAGAGTTGCCAGTAATGGATCTCATGACAACAAGTTCATTTTTCCTGTGGTAACAGGTGGACTTTTACCCTGTGGTTCATGGGAAATCTAATATATCAGGACATCTCAACTCAGATTAATTTTAATAACGAGTACAAATATTTCTTATAACAACCTTAGATTACAGTCTGATCTAGTTTGAAAGCACTATCTAAATTGATATCCTCATTTCACGTGAGTTGTGGCGAGATTGTGATTTATTTGGGTTTGCTATTCAACATTATGCGTCAAGTTTGGTCTTTGTGCAGTGATAGTCAAGTAAACAATTAAGCAAGACAAAAACTAAGCTTTGCATAATTCACGACCATCTTGTGTAGAGTGAGACGAAACAAATCGAACGTATTTCTCGAAGTTAATAAGCAATAAGGTGACCCTCTGGGAAAGAAGTATTTCCTGTTGTCCCATGAGAGATGAGCTAACACGACAAAATAGTTACCACTCGACGCCAGACAGTAGATGATCGTTTACAAACAACTTTGAAAACTGAACAAATAGACCAAGAACATTCGAAACCGTTGTCAACTCGTGCTATGAAACACCCCGTAGTGACGCTAAGTGAAGGTTTGGTCCGTTTGGACCACGAATTGTTAATTACCATCAATCATCACGCATTTGCAACGAAAGAAAAACCTCTTCGGAAGAGAAAACAACCACAAAGTTTGAAAACAGATAAACCATATTTTGTCAACGGTCCATTGCGTCAACCTTTACCCGACTCGTTTACGAATGATAACGGCAGAAAACAAATGGCAGTGACGCGCAAAATGAAATTTGCGTCGCACAGAATAATTTCTCGCTTTCTTGAGCACCTCACATGAATCACGTCTCAGCTTTAAATATTGTCGGGATTTTATGGTTTTTATCGATCGCTTTGTTTTTCGGCCCCTCCTTCTACAATTTATTATCCGCTTTCGCAATATAAGATCATTATATGTACATGAATTCTGATGAGCAGCGGAACCAGGGTCTGACACGAGCATTCCACGTAGTTAAAAGTCGCTCGTTACACGATGGCTTAATATTCGATTCAACTTGACACCCCACAAAAATTAAGTCTTAACTCCATGAAAAAAAAAATAGGAAAAGTCAACGAATGGCAGAATTTGGACGACTAATGAACCCTAAACAGATTCGTGAAATTTAGAATAAATAATTTACGGCCAAGAAACCGCTTCTCACTCCTGCTTTGCATCGATTGTGTAAATAGTTAAGCACCGTGCTAGTTTTGTGGCGAATCTCGACACCGAATTAAAATACAAGATTTCAAGTTAAAAAATAACAATATGAAGCTCAAGTAAGCCGTAGAAATCGTATAAAATAAAACTAGTCAAATATCGTGCGTTCATAGTTAACGACGTCTCCCAAGCAGCGAGACGAAAGTCCAGCTGAAAGGCTTGCGTTCGCCGCCCGCTTTTGACCGGACAAATTAACGATGGCTAAGAAATTATACCAGAAGAATCTCAGAGTACTCACCTTCTATAGAATGGCTTTGTGGGGAGAGAACCTCCATATCCCGTTAAAAAAAAAGAGAGAAAACGCGCTCAGAACGACCAACGTAGTTTCCTGCAGCGAAACGGAAATTATTCACCTCTACTATGTTTTCTTCTGGCAACATGCGTTTAGACCACTGACAACCGCGTGGGGCCTGATACCCTTAACAACAACTAATATATGTCAGGGGAGTACTAAATTAGTGATTGTGGTTTCTTATCACTTTTTAAGTTTTTAAATGGCGCTGGTGATTTATTGTAAAAACAACTTATCAAAAATTTCACTTACTTTAGATTAAATCTATTTTTTTTAAACTTCAAACATTTCCTTACTTAGTTTGTCTCACAATAAATTTTAACGTACGACCCCTCTCCTGACAAATTCATACCGTCATTGTATTTGCCAAGCGATTGGGTTGGCGCGGAATTTGACCGAAGTTGTCTTTCAATGATTTAATGTTCCTGTACGTAACCTGCGACAGTTGGTTTGCTCGGCCATTACCAAAATTAACACATTGAACAATTAAGTCAGCCCTGAGGTAAAACACGTTCGAATGGCTGACCAATATTCTCTCTTAATTACAAAAGTTTGCTAGAAAAAAAAAGCCTTCCTTCGAGAAACAATTGAAAATTCTTAATTATCCAAGGAACTATCGCAACAATATGACTCCCGCGACGCTAATAAGCTATTTGTCATTGATGAATTGAAATATTGGTTTGCCACAATAATGGAATTTTTCAAACTGAAAAGGAAGATGTCACTTTCTTACACTAAACTTGTGTCAAGCTTAAAAATTAACACACTGGACGACGATAATCATCTGTGGCGACAAAATGTCCATAGGATTCTTTTTCATAAGTTTATTCCGTCACCCATGTTTATTTGTATATTCATCCATGCATTAAAAGTTCATGTTTCCACGACACAAAAACGTCTCGTCCAATTTGAGTGGGAGCATGTTTATATAATTTTGAGGACATCAATATTGAAATTCAGTGATGATAGACTTACCCCTCTTGCGGCACCCAAAAAGATATGTCTTTTGTTTTGAACCGCGTCTCTAGTTCGTCTACACTGGAAACTGAAAAGGGTTTTTTTTACTAAGACCTCTAAAAGCTAGAAATTATCTACAAACTGACCCATCGTTATGACCGATTTGTTGCGATACAACATGTGGAGAAATATAAACAAACCAGAAACTCACGGCTAAAAATAGCGTCTTAAAAAACTGTGGGAATTAAATCTTCGAGACTCCAGTTTACACTCAAATATCCTAATCAAGGATTTTAAGCACAAATCCTTCCCCTGATGGATAGCTTATTCGATGATAATTTTGATCCAGTTATTTTCACTTATTTACAGCGCACAGCTGAGTCTCTCCTGATAGAAAAATGATCCACGTCTAAATCTAACTTCCAATCCAGATTTTGAATTTAATATTTTCAGTAGTCGAATATGTTTTTAACCAAGCATTCACAAAGAAGTCAAATTTCCAAAGGTAAACGAGAACTATCACGGGGCAGTGTTCAGCGCGGAACCTGCTAAGTCACTCGACCGTTTGTTCTCATGAGAACGACTCTTGATCAGGGTTCAGTTGACGGAACCAGCCAAGCGAACAATTTAACTATAAACACAAGAATTTTGTGAAGATTACGAGATTAGTTCTAAGAAATATGTTCTGCTCGATTTGGTCCATCTGGTTGCTCCGATAGACATGTTGTGGATAATTGAAAATTGGGCTTGACCTCAATCAGTCGGAACCGAGATGATCTTGATTCTTTTTTCAAAAAGATTCAAATCAGACAGAAACCGAACACACCAGATTTGTTAACTTAGAAGTAATCGACATGTTTTATTTCAACAAAGTTATCGTCACAGGAAACCTGCTCGAAAAGGTTTGTGTGAGAAAAAGGATATATGTTATTGAACGTCACTTCCTGGGCGTTATCCCACTTTAAACATTCTACGTGATAAGTTGTTTCATTTTAAACTCTGGGATGATCTTTAAAGAGGTTTTACTCGGACTGATCATACTTACATTGGCTTCGAGTAACTTGAAACTACTGTATGTCCAAATAACAAACAGTTAAGATAAAGAGTTAAACAAATCTCTTTAAAGATTAAAATACAACATAAAAAGTTGATGCCAAAAAAGGCCCACTGCCAAAATGACAAACGTCAATAAGCCAGTGTAACTGTACACTGAGTGCATCGATTACAAGGCAAAGATGGTTGCTCCATGTCCTCGTCGATATTTTTTAAATGAATAAAGGCTGATAGTTTCGAAAGAAACTGTTTGGGGCTGCGTCGGTGGGAGTAACGAAATAATTTGGATATATCAACAAAGTTGAAATGGTAAATTGGCCACCGTAATGATTACAAAAGCTGACGTTTCGAGCGTTAGCCCTTCGTCGGAGCGATTGAGTTCAGTTTTCCTTGCCACGGAAAGAGAACCTAAGGGAGTAAGTGATCTGTTGGTAATAACCACTAAGTGTGTTTAAAAATGACTCGTGGGATAATAATATGAAGACAATAGCAAGAGCGACATCATCGATAATAATAAACGCTTTACTGCAAGGTGTCTGAGTCAGACATGTGTCCATCGCCGTATGGTAATTTCGTTTGAATAAAATTCGGAGTGCTTCCTTTCTCTCAAATTACTACTTTTCATACTCAAGAAAGTTCTTTCTATTTTAGGAAACAGAGAAGCAAAAGGATATCACCGACCTGTCCTCTGAGCGCTGTAGCTGAAGAATGGTTTTATCAACTACCTGGGAGGGAATTTGCCTCCCTTTACATAAATTACTTCGGTACTATAAGCAACCATAGTTAATATTAGCTATTAACTATGAAGCAACTAAGCTCTCTCGGAATCCCTTTGTATCATTTACATCACCTAAACCCTCTTAAATTTATTTTTCACACGGCAAAAAAGAGTTTCAAAATTCAAGTTATGGAAGATAGAGAACGAATAATACCTTAGATAGAAATATCACGATGGTAATTTTTTCGCGCACAAAAATTCCTACAATACGCGAGAGGGAAACGAAAGAACAAAAATAGCATTTCCATTCACAAACGGCGACCGCTTCGTCTGGTTCTCGAGAGACAAACGCATTCAAACGCACCGCCATGAAAATAAAAGAGCAGCTCAGTTGAGTAGTACTTTGATTTCCTAATCCTTTAGTCTCCATTCCGGATAAAAATTGAAAACCCATTCATGAACCGTGTGACTCTATCAAATCAACAAGGCAGTCAGTTGAAGGAAATGTTTGCTGGAATATCCTACACTTAGTACGGTGAGTTTCCATGTCCAAAGAAAGGTTCCGCAACAATGCAATGTGTAGGAAGAATAGAAACTGGCTGTACTGAGATTATTTGGTGGAAATAAAAGCGTTTTGTTTAATCATCGTCGGTCAATAGTTTAAATCACAATATCTTCTGCATACTTTAAAAAGGAAATAAAAAATGAATCTATAACAATGTTATCAAGGAGATGGTTAGGACCGGTTAGCGTGCTATTTTTTGATGTTTTGGTATCTTCGGATTAAAAGTTGATCATCCTAGGAGTGGAAACCGGAAGCCAGTGACAGGCACTTGGTAAGCAAGAGAGCTGAGCGAGTGATAAACGCTCCGGGGATCTATTGAGAACAGGGGAAGGCGACTTCATACTGCAAGTAAGAGCCAACGTTGTTGTCAAAATCTAACGAAAGAGTTAGCTGCTCTTTGAAGGTCTTAAAGATCTATTGAAATGGAAATGAGTCAACATGTGAGTAAGATGGAACATAACTACCAGGAACACAGATCGGCAATTCAATTAAAACATGTTAATGAACATAAATTAACGCTTCTGGAAATTGAATGAAAAACAACTCAAGCCGAGGGTGGATTTCAAGCCAGTGGCACATATCTACTTGCCTTTATTGAACTAGAAAGTACATAAACATTCAACCACCTTAACTTAGACGTCTTAGGTACTTTACCGCCAAAATAAGGTTAGATTAATATACGTTATTAATCAATGTTCTTCTGATAAGTACAACAAGCGAATGAATATGTCTAAAAAGGAGATTAACGTTAAATCTTGAAAAGATGATTTCGGAAAAATCAGAGCTGACTGGTGGTCAATTGATAAGTATAAGGAACAAGAACACAAAACAATTGGCGGCACGGAATCGCCACTTTCTGTAGGCAAGTGAAACAGCTCAACCGCTTAAAATGTAAAAACTTATCCCTCACCTAATTTCTTTGTTTGCTTGGTCAACACAGACCACTCTGTGATTTCGTCATCAAACCCCTGTATACCAAGGTCCTTAACGAAAAGTAATCAATAAGTAGTTCTCTTTAAAATTCGCATATGTAATGAAAAAAACAATTAGCCTTTGACAGTCGGTAACACGTTCGCTGTTGTGTGAGACGAGCTCAGTGAGGACCAGACCATAAGTAAGGATGATCTTCATTCCTACAACACTTCCCACGATTTTACTATGTTAAAAGTAAAATTTAACTAAAAAACGCGCAAAACGTCGAAAGTGCGGACAAAGACGGTAAAGTAACCTCTCTGATGGATAGTATTGATTATCTCGCATAAATTGAATGCCTATTTATGATGTTCGACTGCGTGCATGTAAACGTTGACAGTTTATTATCATTATTATTATCATTATCATCATGATCATCATTATCATTATCATTATTACAATTTCTAACGACTTTTCGAGCTCAGGTCAGACTCGTTACATAGTTCTGGCTTGTTTCATTAGGGGAAAACATAGTGTGTTTTTTTTCTTTTTGGTCGAGCTCCCTCATAAAACAACAGATATTACTCTTAACTACAAATCTCTAGGATCAAGTTGATTCAAAAGCAGCTTCCACAGAGAGATATTTGTTGTTTTCTGTAGCTTCTACATGGACAGAATCTCCTGTAGGAGGAGTTGTGAGCAGCACAGCTGAATAGAAGAGGCTCCTGCTGAAGAACACATTTTGACGTGACTACTTCTTTAGCCGGCGCTACGTTGCTTTTCTCATATACTACTTGTGCACACTTGGAAATTTTACTGAAAAGCAAAGAAATGGAATTTGATATACGCACACGTCATACAGGCAGCCTCATAACCACGGTCACTTTCTTAGTGACTTACACTGAGGCTACCCTAGTGGTAAACGACCTAATAAACTACATGAGTCTTTATCATGTCATTCAGCCATAAGATCATGTTCAATGGCCGATAAAAAAACAAAACTGACAGTGCTAGTTTTGTGAACGAGAGCGCTTTCATCTGGCCCACCAAAGAAAATTAAACTACTGTAAAGCATTCCTTTTGTCATTTGGATATTTCTTTTTATCGTCTGTACATAAACAGAGAGATTTTTGCGCGGAATGAAACCTCGACTGTGATATCAGTATAAAAAATCATATCCTTTAAACCCGCGACTTTTGATGCTATGAATACTTAAAGTCGACTGAGGCTCCTGGAACACCTTTCGCTTTACCTGGAATTCAAGACAAAAAAGTACTCCGGTTCACACGTTAAACCTAGCCAAAATAAAAATAAAAATTAATCAAAATAACGCCCAATGGGGAGTTTAAATAATGATTTCACAGGGTGAATTGCAATCGATTCTTAACATCAGAAGACTTTTTTTTTCACTGAATACCAACTGGGATGTTAACATTGTTAGAAATTAAGGAGCGTTCTTCGTCCTCTCAGTTACAAAATAACGTTACAGTAAGTATTTCGTTAGATAAGCGAAATAAAAAAAAATAAGAGAGATCAGGAATTTATCCGAAATGTTATTTGAAAATGCAGTAGAGTCATAGATATCGTAAACAAGAATCTGAAAGAACAAATAGAACAAAAGAAAAAAATAAGCAAAAAGATGTGTATGAGTTGTAGGATAAAACTTACCTGATGATTAAACAGATCAACGCGAGGACAGTTATCCACCCCAATACTTAATGAAAAATACCCATCAGGTACTCAAGCGTACTTACCATCAGGTACTCAAGCGCACTTTATGATTCTATTGTGTACGCTAATGACGTTAGCAGACAGGTGTCTCGAGCTTGAAATTTTCCGTTCACAGTTCCCGTCCAGCTTGCTCGCGAGTTTTGAGATTTTCAAGATAGTTTTTCCATTCCATTCCGATTGAGAAATACTTTTAGGAGCAATACTACGATTCTCAATCGCAACACGAATTATGATTAGAAAATGAAAGCTAACAGTTTGCTGACTATCGTGGAATTTCGCCACTTCCCGACCACTTTTTGTCCCAGTACATATCAAATTTTGGTGCTGATGTGCCCTTGAAGTATTGTGCAACAGAAAATTTTTATTTGTATCGGCTAACTTTCAGAATTTTCAACTTAACACGACGCAATTTTTCTGGCCGTTAAGTCTGGCAACCAACGGTTCAGGTACGGTGAATCTATTGGCGGAATTCTAACGAAATAATATACTGAGGATTTTCCCGAATAAAGCTTTTGTCTCGAAAAGGTTCTGTTATTTTTGCGTTGCAGTTTAGTCGTAGTTAGTTTTAGTTTTCGCTTAGCACGCGGTGATTCGGTAAACTCGATAAATGTGCGTATTGACTTTGAAAGCTGATCGGAAGTTTTATTTAAAATCTTGATTTCTGAATACATTTTGGCTAAAGCTATTATTAGTTTGGGAATAAGTTACTGAACTGTTCATATTTCATTAAACCTGTTTTAGTCAAAAGATGATTCATTCTAGATTCTTGCGTGCTGCCCTTCTTAAAAAAGCTTTAAATCGTGAGAAAACAAAATCAAAACACCTGTGTTGACAATGTTATAAAACAATTGGTTCATACGTCAAGGTGCGTTTATTGGGTATGAAGCACTTGATAAGCTTTGAGAGCACTCAATAAGTTGGAGTTGCTTGAGGCGTAGCCGTGAGCATCTCTTACGCTTCTCTCGTGTTCTCCACCAACTCCAGCACATCGACGCACACTCACGTAGGAACCGATTTTTGATTCAACCGCACTAATTATTACCCTATATCAATTCACCAAGGAGCTATTCAGTGTTTTATTTACAGGAAAAGAAAAACCGCGTTCTATTTGTATTGCAATGGCCAGTTACCTTCTCTGAAACATTTGTCGGTACACGATTCGCCTGCACGTGAAATGGAAATGCGTAAGTCATCATTGTTGAGTGGCCAGTGGTAAGATTTGTCGCAGAAGTCCTTTGAAATAAAAGAAGTAACATCTTGTTTGCAGTGATACGACAAATTGAAACTACTCTTTACAATGAGCTTTGTAGGGACGTTTCTACAAAAGGGGAGCGCTAAGCGTTTTGGGGGCTCAAATTCTAGACACCTAAAATATTCTATAGTTTAGATTTATTCCTACTATTATCAGCTGAAAACGAACGATATAATATCCCGACGTTTCGGCGACTTCATGACGCCATTATCAAGGGTACGAATGAAAATAAAATGAACAAATGCGAGTTCAAGAGTTACAACTAATTTGCATAGCTATCTCCCTTATGCAAATTAGTTGTAACTCTTGAACTCGCATTTGTTAATTTTATTTTCATCCGTACCCTTGATAATGGCGTCATGAAGTCGCCGAAACGTCGGGATATTATATCGTTCGTTTTTACCTGTCTATGTATTACTAAATCTTTGTTAATATTATCAGCTGATTATTGATTTGTGAACTGCAATCGTACAAGCATTGTGTGTCTTAAAAGACAACAGCGATATTAATATAGACCTCAGTCTTTTGCGGTCAAGCCAATGCTTTGGTTATGTATCTGAAACCAGTTTCAGGAGAAGTGTAAATGGAGATCACTCTACAGTAGACCATGGAGGGAGGTTCTGACTCAGAAAAACTACCATTTTCGTGAGAGAGTAATATAAATTATCGGACAATCCACGGGCAATTAACCGGCGTATCGAAATTTTAAATTTATCCATACTATTTCTCCTTTGTGGCAGGTAGTATTAAAAGTGTTCTGCGTCTTACGGGATAAATGCTATATTCACATAGACCTCTAGCTTTTCGCGTGCAGGCCGACTTATAAGTTTAGTGTCTGAACCAATCAGAACACAAGAAATTGTATATCCAGTTAAGGTTGCTGCGTGAGTGATGAAAAAGCCAGACTATTCAAATAGGAAAAAGTAAGAAAAAGTTAACCTATGGTTATATATGTACAGCCTTACTTACTTTAAGTAAACAATAATAGCTCACCCATGTTTGCCAAAGGCAAGCCAGTCTATAGACCTGTAGATCCGGACCTACAATTTTTTTTTCCGCCCGCTTAATTTTTACAATATGACTCTTGCAAACTTTGATACAAAAATAACTTTTGTAGGGAACAGGCCTTCAAAAGATCGAAAAGCACCTGATTGGTGTTCGAAAAAGTACCCGCAATTAGTTATTTAACACTTTTAGACTACTGTATATGGGACATGCATATGACCACCTCGACCGCCTACATCAGGAACGCAAATCCCACAACTTCTACAGGAACTACCTGCACTACGTATGTGGGGAATCATGAAAATACGCAAAACTTGCAACAGTGACAGAAATCTTTAAAAAAATCTCTAAAAAATACGCAAAACTTGCAACAGTGACAGAAATCTTTAAAAAAATCTCTAAAAAATACGCAAGACTTGCAACAGTGACAGAAATCTTTAAAAAAATCTCTACCTATCTTCCTAAAGGTTCCACTCGACGTCATACAGTAACCGCTGCCTTCTCGAGGAACCATGCTAAACTGGATAGAATTTCGGTTTAAAATAAAAATATTCTAACCTGGTTTTCAATGTAAGCATTTAATCTCTCTAGCATTCCTTCGCAGGTAAACTCAAAGGGAAGGATGAGTTTTGCCTATTGTAAATCAACAAAAGCATGATCAACTCTCCATGGGAAAACATGTTCTAAGGTGAACCCATGGGGACGGTAAAATGACACACTAATGATAACATAATTAATTTTTTAGTTTTATTTAATGATTTGTGCCAGTCACTGGAGCAGAAACAATAGGACATGGGTCCCCTACGAGGTTTAAGCTCCAACAAACCCACCCATCTCACCCCAGGGGAGGACATCCATCACACAGTAATCTCGTGCGTGGGAAATTAACGTCTCCTACCCCAACCCTGCAGGAGACGGGACCTCCATTTATTCGTCCCTTTCCGAGAAGACTAGAATATCTAGCCATTTGTTGATGTTATAGAAAGGTAGCATATTCTTCTCAATTATTTTAAGACCTTGAGTGATGGTCCGGCCGGGACTCGAACCCTCTACCTCCCGCACAACAGTCCAGCGCTCTATCCATTGAGCTAACCGGGACGCGGTTAGCTCAATAATAGATAATGAATATATAATAGATAATTGACAATAAATAAAATAAATAAACAAAATAGCTTAATAAAAGATAATAAATAAAAATAGGCAGTGATGAAATGAAACGGCAGCTCCTAGGCGGCATGTCCGTTGGCACGACATTGACTAACTAAATGTTTCCTTTTGTTAATACGGTATCATAAAAACAGAGGTGCGTGTCAAGAAGAACTATAGGAAGTTCTTCGTGTAAAACTGCACGCTTAAATGCATGAGTAAAAAAGTGCGCCAGCAGGTGAAAATGGTACGCAGTTCAAGTAAACCGTGTCCGTGTACAAATGTTATCTGGTAAAAGGCCTTTGAAGACGGAACAAACCTGCTTGAAATTTTCAGTTGAGATTGATATCAAGAATATAGCATTGTTTCCTTCTTCCTCCTTTGAGGCCATAAAATGGCGGTTCTAAAAGCCGTGTTTTGTCGCACGCGAAACACATCGCACTCCTATTCGCCTCTCCTATTCGCCTCTCCTATTCGCCTCTCCTATTCGCCTCTCCTATTCGCCTCTCCTATTCGCCTATTCGCACTCGTGTCATTCAGAAGGCGTACCATTTCGTACGTGTGTCGTATGACATGCTGAGCGTGTCACACAGCCCAAAGTCAAACAAAAGTTAACGTGAAAGATAATGTTTTCAGTCAATGACACAGGCATACTCGGAGAAAAAGAACTTCGAGTGCTCCAAATAGGAGTCAAACCCACAACATCCCGACAAGTACATCATCTTTCACTTAAATCACCAGGCTTAACATTTACCATCGTAATTCACATAAAAATTTACCATGTCTGCCCTTGTTTTGCCTGTCAAATACGTGCATATCTGCAAATTTATGACACGCTTGGTGTGCCGTTTCATGACACGCGTGCCCGTGTACACGCTTTCAGTGGAGGGTTACAAATGACAATAAAATGCGGGGCTCTCTCACAACACCACTCACCTGCTGTTTTAAAATCTCTCTAAGCGCTCTTGCCGTTTCTGTTTTATTCCAAATATTCATTGTATACACCATAGGTTTTCCAATGAATATTTCTGCATAAGGGTGCTGTGAACTTAACTACAAAACAATCATCTATTTTATATTTGGTTTGATAGTTGTCATATCATGATTTCAACAAAGCTCTAATATCAGTTAGATAGATACATTAAAAAGCTATCGAGATTATCATTCACTATACTCTGTATCATGACAGGGATCTAAACTCGGCATGTATACGCGCTTGTGCAGCACGCATCAAGAGCGCTAATAGTTTGCTGATGTGTGAATTATGCAATGGCATAAAATCACTCAATCTTTTTGCTACTTTGCGTTGATGCTATTATATGTGACCCTCTACGGGAAAACTATCGCATTATTGTTTTTGTTACGAGTCCTCGTTTATGAAGGGAGTTCCGACCGTTTGCCGTTGCTCACTGTTACAACAAATTTGAAGGGTCAGCGGTCCATCCACATAGCAGGGTTTAGTCCCCTCGCGTCACTATGTAGTTCAGTTTTCGCGCGAAAAGTTTCATAATGTTACGTAGTTTCTTTAACCGCAGTTCATATATATGAAATGTATTCACAAGCGTTACGTAGTTTGTCGATGTATGTTCGTAATGCTGCGTCTCGTGTCCCTCTAGATCCAAACCGACAGGTATGTTTTAAGCTTTCAATTCGCAGGGTTTATTTCGTTTGATGTCAGTTGTCGTGGGTAGTTAGATTTAGCATTATTTTTTTTCGTTTCAGAAATCACTGATTAAGAATGAAATGTATGGTTTGGGTAACTTTTGAGAAATGTTATCGGTGCGTTCGTTACACTCACCGTTCAAGCGACTCGCACGTCCGTCCTTTTGTAGCCTGTGTACAGCCCCCTCCCCCCATCCCCTAAAAAAAATCGGGAAAAAACCAATTTTTTTAGGGAATGGGGCGGCTGTACACAGGCTAGTCCTTTTGTACATATTCCCAAAACCTGATAACGTGTTTGTAACTTATCCTAATACATGCAGGTTTGCAATCTTTAAAAGTCCTCTATGCTTTTGAGGGTAGTTTTGCCCCGCAATTTAAGAATTTTTTTCATGAGAGCCTGCTTAATCGCCGTACTAACCTTGCTGTTAAATTATTAAAAATACAATGAACGCTATACGATTTGTTGGCCGCTTCAAAAATAACTCCGAAGATGATCGACTGAAAACCGCGAGAAGTCCCGCGCTTTGATTGTGTTTAGATTAGCAATGTTTAGATTAGCAAATTGGAAGATCACATTTACATTGCTACTCTTACATTTCTAGCTGACGGATACTCCTTCAGAATCTCAGTATTCAGACGATTTTTGCGTGGAGAAAACTGGAAAAAGAATCAGCCACCACAGATTAAATACCACAGAATGAACCGTGAGTTGCTGGTGACTACAAAGAAAGTTACAGTTACTACTCTATCTTTTGACAGTGCACCATCAATATTGTGAGTACTTTACACATCAAATACCTAGGATTTTGCTTATTTACATCGTGAACTATTTTGTTGTCTCCGCGGGCGGTCCATAAGTTTTCTTTTATTTTACTCCCTACAACGGTAACCTCATCACAATGGCAAAGGGCGCTAAAGCTAGTCCCAACCTCCTGAGTAATATATTTTTAAAACAGCCAGGTTTCAAGAGAACGAAAAAATCGTTCTACTTCTGGCAAACTATCTAACCACCAAAACAAACAGACAACCCTTGACAGCCTTATTTCTCTAGAGAGTGGGTTAACTGTCTCCTAGACTTAGAAAAGCGAACTTCGGCGTAACCATGGTAACTAATAAACTCACTGAACCTTACTCCTCAATTTTCATCGCCCATAGCTTTTCTCTGACTATAAAACTTTTAGCCTCTTAATCAACTAAATGAATATTTCATTTGAGTTTGATGCGTGGTGGCATCAAAGAGTTCTTTAAAACTGATTATAAGGGCAGATTTTTTCCTCCCCTCAAAAAAGATGCCATGTTACACCCCATCTTCCTAAAGTAGTCACTTTACCCCGAATAGAATTTAACGATGTCTTAACATCTTACCTTCGGATTGATGAAGATGCAACCTTGAGCAATCGCTTCTAGTACAAGATGTCCTTCGTAAGGGAATCCAAGACCTATGAACAACTTAAACCAGATGTACACTCAGATCAACAAAAAAAATTGTTGAGACACTTCTGAGTTTCAAGTTACCACTCATCGATCGTAAATGCAAGTGTGGTGTATTCATGCAGTCATGAAATCTTTTTCTGATCATATTTAGAGCTAAGTGAGAGCTTTGTTGCAATGCTATTTCCGTGCTCGATATAAACTCATTCCTCAACAGCCAAGTTTTCCAGCTGCATCCGAGAGCTTGGTTCCTCGTCATGTTTCGATGTCGTTGTTAAGAAACTACATCTTTATTTCTTGGTTCAGGAATCCAGAAGAATCCCCCTCAGCTTAATTTAGAAAGGGAGAGCGTCAATAACATAGCATGGCTTTGCCAAGTCCTCGTCGCAGATGACCACACCTAAAGTAGAGCTTAATGCCAGGCTTACGAGAAATCGCTGCTTTAACTAAAGTAGCCTTACTACGCTTGGTAGTATCCGAGTCCCATTATGATAGGGAAAAGAACCCATTAGAACGTTACAAACCAGTAGAGTTTGAAAAAGGATTAAACTGAAAATATAAAATAAAGTTTACCTTGGACTTTCTCAGCAGTCGTCTGATACTCGTCAAATTTAAATTGCCATGGTTGACCATAAATGGTAGGGCAGCTTTTTCTCCTCCTGTGAACTAAAGCAAATTATCTGAGCTGAGTTCAGTATCCTCAGAGGAGCTTTCTTCGTTCTCTTTCAATTCCACTCAGACATATGAGAAAGTCATCAAGTGAGCTATTATTCTTCTCATTTTTACTCCACAGTGTCATTGTGAGCACGTACCAAAGGATATCAAGTATACTTCAGTCTTACTTCAGAGACGGAAAGAGTAAAGTTTTATCCCTTACTTATGGTCTTCGCCATAAAATTCCCTGAAAATTGATCATTGCCTAATCCTGCATGACCCAAATTGTCCATAAAGTATGATATAAAAGCGAAGTGCGATTAAGAAAATTAAAATGGCAAACCCGGGTTGTGTACCAAAACAATATGATATACTAAAAGATTATGATTTCCTGGATATACATACCATAGCTGTGTGTAGCCTCATGTGTTTGTAAATTGCCTTCAAAAAATGTTTATGGGCCTTCAGTAGAGACAGAATAGAAAGAATAATAAAAAAAATATGATGAGATGCTGGTCCAGTTATTGCAGGAGTTATTGCTTGTTAACGGCAAAAGTGCAAAAGTTTTAAACGAGAAATTCTACCTGATTAGTAGAAAACAAACTCAAATGTACCCTCTTGAGACTTAGCGAATTGCGCGGGAGACTGGGAAATCCATTATGTATCCGAAAGACGCTCAAGTAATCCAAGAGAGTTGTAAGAGTTTCTCCAAGGAGGAACAAACTTTTCGGTTTTTCGTGTCCAGAAGGTTCTGCTGCAGCTCGCAGGCTAAGATAGGATCAACTTTTCTGACCGGCCTTCGTAACATTATAACATAAAGACTGTGCATTACGCTCACCTGATTCGTAATTATAACGTCATGAGATGAATTTATACAAAAAGTTAGCCAAGCGTTTGGTTAACGAAATTTTACCATGATTTTTAAGGTACATTATTAAAGTAAATTTCAACTTATATTGTTCCTATACGTTTTTGTAATTGATTATGTACGACTGCTTACCTTGAATTCTGGTGGCTTTCCATATACAAACGCCATTGAGGTTTTTTGTGGAGTTGATTCATTACGGATACTTTTTAATGAGAAACCAAGGAACGAATTGTCAACTGACAATGCTGCTAGGATTGAAAGGAAAGTAGTAACCATGGAGAGAATTCTGCTCAAACATTTTCAAGTACGCAGTTTTCTCCTTGAACCTGCTGGCCCAATAATCTTCTATAAGTTATAAGATGTGACATACTAGATCGTCCAAATGAAAATCCAGCAATGCTGTCGGTTGCAGAATTAAGACCATGCTTTTAGGAGAAAATTTTGGCTTTGATGTTTCCTTAGGAATCGCAACTAACACATTATACCAATGAAGATGAGAATGATCTTCGCAGTAATGAACACCAATTAAATAGTAGTTAAAATGAGTCCGAAAAAAATTCAGGCTTGTTAGGGAGTTGAACCCATGACCTCTGCAAAACTGTGACCGGTGCAGAGTTCCACCATCTATATATATATATATATATATATATATATATTAATATATATATATATATATAATTAGTATAATTTCAGAGCTGAACAAAGAGTTTCCAGCAATCTGATTGGTCGAGCGGTTCCTTATATGACGCTATATAAACCGCTCCGGGCGGTTTATATAAAATGTTAAACTAAAATGTTAATAAATGTTACTAAAATGTTATGATTTTAGAAATTTCTCTGTTGTTCAGCTCTGAAATTATACTAAAACAATTATTCGCCTCAGGCTCGGTGAATATTGTCGAATAATC